AGCTAATAAGAATCATAATAAAAAGTTTGAGCAGATAATTGAAAAATAAAGTTAATCTCATCAAATATCCATTTTCAACAAATCATAGTAGGAAAAAAATATAAAAAAACGTAAAATGTGGCTATTTATACTTTAAACTAAGTTTAAAAATAAAATAAAGTAAGTAAATATACTCAAAATATTAATATGATAGCTTTGCAAATTGATAAATTGTGCGCATCAGAATAAGCTCCTAATTATATTTTATAAAGTAAAAAAAATAATAATAAGTAAATATCATATCTTACTAATATTGATAAATCGAGAACACTAATATATGATACATAAAGAAATATTTCTTAGATAACTTACAAAAGAAGATAAATTAAGTTTTTGATCTATATGGATAAAGTTATCGAATTTGAATGTGAATTTCACTGAATTTGAATTTATGTGACTTTGATTAAAAGATAATTCTTTTTGGATGGTTATTAGATAACAAACAAATTATATTGAGAAAAAGTCATAAAGGATAATTGATCTCATCAGTCCAAACTTCAATATTAACAATTACTTTTCTTACTTTTTTTCATGTAGGTAGAACCTATTTTTAGCTATTATTCGAAAGAATTTGAAGATCAAGTGTGGGCGCTCGGTAGAATGGATCAATTGAGTAACCTATTTGTATTTGGTGAATTGACTTCTTAAATTGTACTCCAATAAGTTAAGGCTATACGGAAGAATTGGTTGACTGCCTTACATATGAATACAATATTTTACTGATTTTATTTTTGGATGAGGTTATGTTATATAAGTAACATAATGTTGGACTTTTATAATATGAAAGAAGCTTCTGGAATAATGAAATTTTACTAACTATAGTTGAAGTTTTGTTGAAGAAGCAATTAAATTTTATATGTTATCTTGTTTGACTTAACTTGAGAAGGATGGACTTTAAAAGTGCAATTAAAGTTAAGAAACATGTAAGGACATATGCTATTATAATAACTTTTAGGATACATATTTCTTAGAAATATTTTAGGTATTGAAATATTTAAGAAAGATGATAAATTACGGTGAGAAATTTTCAAGCACAAAATAATGGACAATATATTTGGAGAACCAACAAGGAGGTTGGAGAAATGTACTTAGAATTCTGAGATTTTTAATTATATAGTATCCAAGATGTAGATTTTTTTTTGTTGAATTAAATATCGAATTTATGGAACTTCAACGAAGAAGACAATAGATTGTTTATTATATAAATTATTTAATTATATATTTGAGTTATATCCGAAAATTATTCATAATTATGATTCAGTTGTTTTAACACTCAGAGAGATTTTCTTATGAGTATGTTGCAATAAGAAACAAGATGATATTTGAAAAGGTCGAATAAAAATTTAGCATACCTTTTATTCTTTTATATTTTTCGCGCATCGCACAAGTTCTAATACTAATTTTGGTACTATAATTTCTTAGGTCAGACCAAACAAGAAAAACGACAAATGAAAGCTCCTCATTATGAGATTTTCTTCTCATGAAGATTATTCTGATTTTAGTTAAAAAACAAAGCACTGTAGTATGTATTATTTGAACGATTTAATCAAATCAATTGCAAATTGCAATAATCTTTTAATCCAATTGCAATATTAAAATAATAAGAAAAAAAGACCCCCTTTTTCCCTATCACCATAGCCAAATACATTGTCAAGACAAACCAGTCAACCAAAACAAGAAAAAACCCTTTCTACAAAGCACAAAAATAATTAAACACAAAAACCCCAAACAAGAGATTAGATCGATCTCTCCGACCACCACCGACTCTTATTCTCCGCCGCCGATGGAGTTTTCCCCTTTAAATCGTCTACCTCAAGATACCCTTCACCAGATCTTCTCCCATTTAACCCTCCGTGAAATCATCGTCTCCAAATGCGTCTGCAAATGTCTCAACTCCACTCTCTCTTCTCCGGCGTTCCTCCACCTCATCTCCACTCTCCAACCTCCCCTCTCCCTCCTCGCCCTCCGCCCTTCCCACCGTAGCCACGGCCACAGTCATAATAATCAATCTCCTCATTGTGCACTCCATGTATTCGACACAGTGCTTAACTACTGGTTTCGGTTCCCACTTTCTTTCCTTCCCTTTAGATCTCATTACCCCATCACTTCCTCTCACGGCCTCCTCTATCTCTGGGCTGAGGGCCCCACTACTGCGGGACCCATACCCGCAATTTCACCTCCTCCTCCTCCTCCCAGTAACAATAGCAAAACCCTAATCGTTTGTAACCCTTTAACACGTCAATTCAAGCTGCTTCCTCAATTGGGTTCAGCTTGGTGTAAACACGGGTCGGTTCTTGTCGGGTCACCGAATCAAGTTCTGGTTTTGACTGAGTTAGCTGCTATTTACTTCTCTGGCTCAACAACTTCCAATAATTGGCTCAAGTTTTCATCGAATTTACCGTCAAAACCTAGGAGTCCAATCTTGATTTCTGATACCATTTTAGCCCTTTGTGATGTTGGTTCCCCATGGCGGTCCCAATGGAAGCTGTTTAGGTCAACAGTTAAAGATTTGCAATATAGTCAACAATGGACTAGGTTAGAAAAGCATGAGTGGGGTGATATTTTTGACATATTGAAACGCCCCAGATTGCTTGCTGGTAGAAATGATAAGGTGTTGATGATTGGCGGTCTAAAATCGTCCTATTCATTGCACAGCACATGCTCGACCATTTTGATACTTAGATTGGATTTGGACTCTTTAGAATGGGAAGAAGCTGGGCGAATGCCGCCTGAGATGTTTAGGTATTTTCAAGATTCGAGTAAGTTCAAGGTGTTTGGTGGAGGGAGTAAAGTTTGTTTTTCGGGCAAGAGGGTGGGAAGATTGGCGCTTTGGGAGGAAAATGAGTGCGGGAAAGGGGAATGGCGGTGGATAAGTGGCGTTCCGGGGAATAGTGATGGACTTTATCGGGGATTCGTCTTTGAGGCTCAGTTGAATGCAGTGCCTTAAAGGTGGATTTAGAGGAGGAAGACCATTAGCTTCAATGGTAACTTTTCTGATTTGGGAATTCTAACTTTTCATAATGTTGAAGCTAAATGTTTAGTTTTTCTTTTGATTGCCATGCTAAACAGGATGGAGGCAGTGGTCTCCTAGAACACTTGGTCCGTCAGAAAGATAATGTTATTGTACTTGTTTTTTGAGGTAAATCTGAATAGCAATTGGATATTCAGACGAAGTGGTTGGCTTGTTTGTTATATGATATCTGACTATTCGTGTATGCAAGGATTCCCCTTTCATGTATTCGGAATGTATTTGTCTTTACAGAGCTTTGGCGTTTCATATGATGCATAAACAGTCCTTTGTTTCATCTGTAAGTTAGCTATATTTGCTATGAAATTGGAGAATAATGGCTGACTTCCTTGCTTGATTTGCATAGCAGCGACTGTGATTTTGCTATAACTTATGCAGTTGCTATATTGCCTTTATAAAGATCATTTGTGTTATGGTTTTAAGTTATGCCCATGTGGACTATGTGATGATGTCTCTATTTGATGGATTTGCTCCTTTCTAACTAATAGCGTTAAGCTAAGTTTCGTACTTTATTGCCCTTTTCAGTCACGGGACTTAACTCTTAGCAGTGGTGGCAAGAAACTAGGTACGAACGTACTTGTTAAGCTGCTTACTTGACTGAGACCTTTTATTCTATTGTATGCAAAGATTGATGGTGGATGGATATGTTGATATTCCAATCATCGTATTGTCAAAGGTGAAAAGCGAAAATAACTGTTGAGTTTTGTTTGGGCTTTATACGAAAAGCATAAATATTGTGTGGGTTTTAATGAAGGCACATAGAAGAAATTAAAAATAAAAACTATATTTTGTAATTCAAGTATAACTATGAACACAAACAACAAATATATGTACGCCTTATAAAAGTAAAAAATTAAAAAGAAACACAAACACCAATTAAGTGAAATAGTTATTGTAACACGGAGACCATGGATGATGAAACAGACACCTTAGTGCCTTGGTGCTTGAACTGAAGCTTTGCCTAAATGAGGTAAAGCCTGTTTTGCACCTATCTTCAGAATTTAAGCGCACCTTAAGCCAGCTTTTGGCAACACTACAATTATGACTGTTGCACATCCTATGGGAAAACCAACTCTTGGAGTAGATATTTATTTTTTGAGATTTAACTTCATGCAGTGGATCACTTGATGTCACATAGATAGAGACAACAGTAGGAAAAAAGAAGAAGAAAGAAGATATTATTTGGAGGTGGAATGATTGCTGAGAGTACAGTTCATACTTTGGTTACTCTTTTACCGATTGAGAAAAACCTGAGTGCAGCTTGTGTTTTGCAGACAGGAAGAGATCCTCTCCTCTTCCCTTTCTTTTTCTCTTTTCTCTTTATCCTGTTGTGAAACTATACTCTCTCCCCCATTAGTACATAGCACTCACACACAAAAGGAGTTGTGTAGATAAGAGTGAGGTTGGGATTCTATTATACACATACGTAACAGCAACAGGCAAACCTAGTGGTTAGTCATCAGTCATATCTTGAGGTTATTGAGCCGTGAAATTGTTGAAATCTAGGATGAACATCCTCAATTTGCAGCTAAAACAGTTCACATCCTAAGAAGCTGAGTGAGTTCCCTTTTAACCCCCAAAGACCAAAGCTCTTTGTAAGACTAACATGCTATAAATTTGAACTGCCGCAAATATGCCAAAAAGAGGCATCTTTTTGTGAACTGGTGGTTTCTTCCTGTTATTGGTTTTGACTTTTTTCTCGCAATTGATGTTGATTCTCTTGAGAGTTCAAGTGTTGCAGTGACCTGTTTCTTCTCTAGCCACCTCCATCTACCTTCCATTTTTGTCCTCATTAAAGACTCTTTGGTCTTTGTAAAGGAATGAGCTCTTACTTGTCTGGAAATGCAATGAGGGTTGGTTTAGGAGCTTGAACAAATTAGAATAGAAAATCCTCTTACGAGTGGAGAGGCTTTTTCTTTTGTGTATGTCTATTCTAGTAAAGGCCGAGCCAGCCGCTTGTTTGATGCTGCAATACATTGTAACATACCTGTAGATTTTTATTGAGTAAATGGTGGGTAGGTCACTGCTACTTGTACCTGCACTATCTAAGATAGTACAACTGCGTTATAGTTTGTTGGGTTTGTATGATTCCTTTTGGTTAGAATATGTGAACCAATGATAATAATGGCAACTGTACATTGTAACATACCTGTAGATTGCAATACATTGTAACATACCTGTAGATTTTTATTGAGTGAATGGTGGGTAGGTCACTGCTACTTGTACCTGCACTATCTAAGATAGTACAACTGCGTTATAGTTTGTTGGGTTTGTATGATTCCTTTTGGTTAGAATATGTGAACCAATGATAATAATGGCAACTGGTGGCCACTATCCATGTTCTGTGGGAGAAAGGTTAGTCGTAGTCTTTTTTCAGATATTATCATCAAGGTTTATTTGATGTTGCATCTTTGTCTTCAATGTCTTTTAAGTTTCATATGCTATTTCTTGTAATTTTATTTCATGAACATAACATTTCTTGCGTATCCCTCAACGCGGAGGACTTATAGTATTTTGTTACTAACTAAAGTGGGGACTGATAGAATCCCATTAGTAGCTGTATACAAAGGGGGGCAGTATACCTTGAAGTTTAGTTTTTAGGAACCTTCTAGTCATTTATGCAAATGGGAAGTTGCTGTGTGCTTCAAAATAAGCCCCATTTTTTTGAGTTGATCTTCAACACCAAATTTTCGTTATCTGTCAAGTGTCAATGGTCTTTCTTATAAAATGCCTCCTGAAACATCAAGTTTTCTTGTGTCTAAGTGGCCATCCTATTTATTGTGTTCCCTTCAAATTATTGGAAAACTGGCATACTGAATGATCTATCCCATCGTGTCTCTGTTAGGCTCGACTGTTGGGGGCTTCCTATTCAGTTGAAAAAGAAGCTGTATAGTTTTTAAACAAAATGGCAATGTAGCAAGAGCTGGGCTGTACTGTTGCATCACATTGCTTCAATAATATTAGTTATACTATTGGAGATTAAGGGAAACTGGAACTACTCTTGTTGTCGTTGCTATGATGTAACCATGTACTATTGATAAAAAATGATGTATATGTCACTACTCAATATACAGTCAAACCTCGCTATAACAGCTTCGTTTGTTCAGAATATTTTTGAATGTTATAGCTAAGTGTTATATAAAACATATATTATATATAACATGAAAATTGGTTTCGCAAAAGCTTGGCTTTTATAGTGAAGTATTGTTATATAGGAATCTTGTTATAAAGAGGTCTGACCGTACAATGAAAGGAAGAGAGAGAGAGAATGATAATTGGATACAATTGCTGTCATTCACAACCGGATGTGGCGTTGTGTTAATATGTTGTAATTTAGCAGTTTTTTTTTGTGTGTCATTTCCCAACCGTTTCTCCTACAGCACTTAAACTGTAATGACCTAACATCTGTTTCTTCTGCACTCTCCATATTTGATCTTATGCTCTTTCTTTTATTTACTGCTGCATATGCAGGTGATTCATCTGATGTATTCCAATCCTTTTACTGAAAAAGATATAAAAAATGAAGAGAAGTAGGAAAAACCAAGATTCCTTCATCAAATACCGCAGTTCTCTGATTAACCACCATAATATGGAAAAATGACATTGTATAGCCGCTGTAAAAATAATAACCGAAAAAATGTATAAAATTTGTACATAACATATAGATTGTATATATATACAAAAATATTTAAATTTTATACACTTTTTCGATTACCAGATGTAAATAATTTGGCGGGCTAAAAGTGATAATACCTGGTCTCTAGAATTATAAGCTATATGCTACTTTTCCCTATATGTTGAAAAAATGGAAATTTTCACAACGTATTCAGATAAAACTAATTTGAATGCCTAATCAAAACACTTGTAACTTCAATAGACAACGTCTGATCGCTGTGAAAAGAAATGTTTTGCATTCATTTTAAATATCTAGCTAGCAGACTCTGGAATCTGGATATGGAGAAAACTCCTCCNTAACATCTTAAGTTACATGTGTACCCAAACGGCTCGTGCGGAATTGAGTTGACGAGCAATGGGTTTTCTCATTACAACTTGTTCTCCGAGTGTGCAAATGCTGAACAATTAAATATTTTTTAAAATCAGGTATTTTATTATTTTTTTTGCTAATGAAAGGAGAGACTTTATATTAAAAACATAGGAAGTTTAGTTATTACATAACATAGGGATAGATCGCATAGCGGTTTTTCCCAATTTGTCTTTAAGAAAAACTTGTAAAATAAATGCTGGAGGTGTTTCCCAATACATAATGTTATCTTCTTCTGTTGTTGTTTGTTGCTTGGTGCTTCCATACTTTGCCAGGGTGTCAGCTACAGTGTTGCCTTATATATATAGATTATTTCTTTCACTTTAATAGCATCAAGAAGAAAACCGTGAATCTATTTCTATTATAGTGGGAAAAAGATATTTTGTGAAGGAGAGTTCTAGTCCTGCCATTAGTGCTAGTAGTTCAGCATGAAAAGCGGATGTTGCAGAGGTATTTAATTGATTAATTTAAGTACTAAGTAGTAAGTACGAGCTCTCTTCTTCTCATGTGTTATGGTAAATCATGAGCGACAAATGGACTACTATTTTTAATTCAAAAGGGTTAATATTTACTGATTTGACCAAAATATTGCTCTATTAGACGAATCTATGTTGTACGAATCTCACACTATGGTGACACACTGAGCACAATATTGAGTGAAGAAAGTATATGGTTTCATAAGCTTGTATTTGTTTCTGGGGGAACCAACAATTAAGTCAATTCTAAAGACTTGCTAAAAAAATACATAAAATAGCATTTTTCAACCTAAACTTCTCCTCCACCAGCAAAAGCCTTTAGTGTGATAGAGTGCCTGTCTCATCCATAAATGATCCAAAGATATAAGCATTTGGCGTTTTTCCTTTTTGAATAAATAACTTTCCTTTCATCATCAGCTTTTTTTTACTGTTGATATAAACATCAAAAGCTAAACATTGATTCTACTACTGTGATCGGGCGGCTCTAGGGGAACCAACAACTAAGTCCAACTCTAAAGCTCGAACTAATATGACATTCGAATTAGAAATTAAATGAAATTTGAGTAATTTACATTGATGTTAACCCAAGTAATGGGTCCAGAAAAAGATACTTGGTAATTTTTGAACAATATTTACAATGTTATGTAATAATTGTTGGGATATACTATTAACTATGTGGTTTAGCTATAGTATTATGTTTTATTCTTTATGGAACAACTGTTTATTTGATTTATTCAATTTAATAAAGTATTATTTTAAATAGATTATTTATTACATGTGTGTTCTTTAGTTATGTAGGAGACGATTTAGAGTATGAAGTCTTAGCTCATGCACAGAAGATTAAATTATCAGTTCTCATAATTAACAAATAAATTATGTTCACAGTCGAAGATATTGTGGGACAAAATATCAAAAGGTACAACTCTATTCAGAGTTAATGTATACCTAATAACTAAAAAATAACGAATATCATTTGTGAAATAATAATTAGTTGATAGAATCCTTGACTCGACCTTGAGTTTGATAAAACCCATTTATGTAAGCTTATAAGTTTTCAAGTGAAAACCCGACCGGTGGATTTTTTATCCACCACATGAAATAGTTTAAGAATAATTATAAAGGATTTAATTAGTTGATTAAATTAAATTATCAGTGATTTAGCTTAATTAACTGGTAATTGTAATCTTAACATGGGGAGTTAAAATAAGTGTTGGTGAATTTTGAATTTCATATTGAGGAGTTCAATTTTAGTTTTTTAGTCGAATAAACTGTGATTAATTATAGTAGGATTTAATTCATCTGAATTTTGAATTAATACTATAATTGGTAGCCTCTTATTATCTATGTGGTCTCTGTATACCTAGTAAAAACCTTGACAGATTTGGGTAAAAAGTGACTTGGGAGAAAAGTTATTTGTTTGAGTTTGACCAGGATTCCACAACACTAGCAGAATCCTACACGATTTTTGGCCTATTTTTTTGGCTTAATTTCGGGTCTACAAATAGAAGACAAGTTTCACCCAATAACTCACTCTTTAGAGTAGTATTATTGCCCACTCAAATAATTTCGTCCAAGGTTTTACTAGGAGCATAATAGAAGACTACATCCCTGAATTCTTGCTCTGTGAAGGACTTGTGCAATAGTTTCGAGAGATTAGTGATTCTAATCTTTGTAATTGAATTATTGTCTAGTTTACATGTTTGTGATACCTGTATTTATGCTTGTTTCCGTTGCGCATGTTCTAACAATGGGTACCAGACGTCGTCTTACATCTAACTAGATAATGTAATACAACATGAATGTTGTAAACGTAAAACGTGGTGTTCTATTACATGAAAACAATATTGTTTTTCACATATTTGTTGTGTTTATTCCATGAAAACAATGTTACTTTCCCCCAAAACGAGACTTTTATAATAATATTTTGAGTTCTGAAATCATGGATTAACATACATAAGTATGATATGTGATATCAACAACTCAAAATATTTAGAACCCTAAAAACGCCAAAAATCATTTTTTGCATATTGGTCATGATTTTGGAATTCTTAAATTCTGTTGAAATCCGAATGACCTCAAATTTGGTAGGTTCATCGGAAATAACCCAGTGAGCAATACTTATGAGCATGAACATTATTTTTCGGGCATTCAAGATCTTTTAGATGGGTTTTCGGCCATTTTTTTATTTTCTATTCTTTTTTACGAGAACACTAGTGGTAGGGTTCAATTCCTATGGTTTTCATTCATGTTTTATAATAATATAATGAATTTATATGTTCACATAGGTCTTCTTCCACATCGGATAGATTCATTATAGATAATTACTGTAGTATCACTTCTAGTTGTTTGATAACTTGTATTAACTCTCCACCGAGTTATATATTGATTCAATGGAATTAGGGTTTATAAAAGTGATATTTACCTATCTTAAATTGACAGTTTACTCTCCATCTGAGTTGGTTTTATTTTTAATTTTTGGGGTGAATATCTTACATAACTCATATATTTTGCATGGATTGTTAAGTTTTCCTATCGAATCTAACTGTTCAACAAGCATGGTTATATGTGTAATGTGTTATTTTGAATTTTATTATTCCTATTGCATAACTAATGATTTATTTAATGTGAATATCTCTCTGATTAACCATGTCTTCATCCAACCCACTCACCTCAATTTTGAACCAAAACAAATTAGAATGACCAAATTATGTTGTCTCGAAAAGGAACTTTGATATTGTCCTAACTGCTGAAGGTTTCAAATTCGTAATCACTGAGGAGTGCCCAAAAAAATTCTGATATAGATGCTACCGATGATCAGGTTAAGCCTATGATAAATGAGTTAAAGCTGATGAGATGGCGCGATGTTACATTCTTGCCTCTATGGCGAATATTTTGCAACATCAGCATCAGTCTATGGGATCTGCTTATGACATGCTCGAAAGTCTCAAGAGATGTTTGGTGAGCAAAATCGTTCGGCTAAGCAGACAGTTATGAAAGCCATTTTGAATACCAAAATGGTTGAAGGATCATTGGTTAGGGACCATGTTCTAAAGATGATGGGTCTTCTGAATGAACTGGAGGTCCTTGGAGCTGTGATTGATAAGGAATTTCAAGTTGAGATGGTCCAGCAGACTCCACTTGACATTTTTTAACAATTTCTCTTGAAACATAATATGAACAAAATGGATTTATCACTAGTGAAATTATTGAATAAGCTGCAAGCGGCAGAATCTAATATCAAACAGCAAGCTCCAGTTATGGAAGCGAATATTGACAAAACATCGGTTTCTAAGCCGAGAGGCGATAAGAAAAAGAAGAAGGATCACAAGGTTTTGGCACCTGGAGGTGCGGTTGTTGGTGTAAAAAATCCCAAAGGAAAGTGCTATCATTGCAAGGAACCTCAGCATCACAAAAAAGCAATCCCCTGCCTATCTGTCAAAGTTGAATAAGTAAGGTATTGAAATTTAAATGTCGTTAAAACTGGTTTAGCGGCTGTCTCTACCATTTTGGTGTGTACATTCAGGTTCCACTAATCATATATGCACTACTTTGCAGGGGTTTCAGGAAACGCGGTGGCTAAGTGAGAATGAAGTTTGTGTATTTCAAGAAAATGGCGAGCTAGCACCAGCTTTAGCATTAGGAGATATTAGAATTTTGTTTAGTAGTGATAGAATTTTAGTTTTAAAAGATGTTCTCTATGTACTTTCTATTAGAGGAATTTGATTTCGGTTTTGAAAATAATGGATGTTGATTATAATGTTTATTTTTCTAATAACTCTGTTGTTATTAAGTTTAATAAACGTTTTATCTACATTGCTGCTGGAGTACATGACCTTTTTATTCTTGATATATCTCCTCTTGTGCTATAAACAAATTAATTAAATAACATTAATTTTCCATATAAAAGAAAACGTATTTCTGAATTAAGCCAAACTTATTTGTGGCACTTACGTCTAGGTTATGTAAATCAAAATAGGATTTCGAGGTTGGTTTCAGATGGACCTTTAAGTTCATTGAAGATGGAGGCACTACCAACATGCGAATCTTGTTTAGAAAAAAATGACCAAGGGACATTTCCCCTCAAAAGGAAGTAGAGGCAGTGATAAGTTAGAATTAATTTACTCTGATTTGTGTGGCCCAATGAATAATACAAGCAAGAGGTGGTATTGAGTTTTTTTGTGACTTTCACAGATATTACTCAAAATATAGATATATTTATCTGTTGCGCCGTAAGTCGGAATGCAAAATATGGCCAGAAATGATTTTACAACACGTTCTGGAATTTCCCACAAGCGTGTCGCATGGGGCGGCATGGGACGTCGCGCGGTAGCACAAAAATGTTAGAGTGATTTTCTATTTCGGCTAAAAAAGAGTAGTTTCATCAGGGGATTAATTTGGGACGGCTTAAATACACCAGAAAATACCATTTTCGGGACTTTTGACACATTTTCGACCTAAGGAGTCTAAGGAGGAGTGGGAAGAACACAAGAACAAGGATTTCATGATTTCTTCCTCACTCAAGATCCGGGTTTGGATTGAATTTATGTTTTCTTCTACTTTAGTTATATTTGTAAAGAACTTCTCTATGTCTATGGAGTAGCTCCTTTTAGGATTTGATGGATTTGGTGTATTGATGATTATTTTCGGATTATAACTCAATTTTTGTGTATTTGAATCGTTTTGAAAGATTTAATTGTTGCATTTATATTTACTAGATATTGTAATCGAAAGAGGCATAACTTGTGATATCTTTGTATTATATTGTTGGTTGAGTTCATAGATTCTTCTAAGTAATCGAAAGAGGCGAGTTGAATCATTGATTAAACCTAGTTAGGAGGATAATCGAAAGAGGTTTTCCTAAAGACCGACCCACTACGCATTCTTGCATATCTTCACAGTGCTTAAATTGGTTCATCTCGTGAGGTTAAGACTTAATCAAGAGAGAAGTTTTTGCTGAACGTTTGAACTAATAATAGAGTGAATTCGAGAAACTCACTTGAATATTGAAAGTGAATTATCTAGAGTTAGATCCCGAACAATCATCTTGAACCTATCCTATCAAAACCCTATCCTCTCCCACTCATAACCTTCGTTGCTTATTCCTTGTCTCGATAGTCATTAGTCAATAGTTGTAGATTCTTAGTTAATTTTAATTCTTAGTTATATAAATCTCAATTGTTGATCCTTCTGGATAGCAATAGTTAGAAACTATGAGAATACTACTTAAATCCAATCCTTGTGGATACGATATTTTACGATACTATCTTTAGCGAGCACAATTTAAGTGTGTTTTGCACTCGTCAAATTTTGTGGGGGATGTAAATATGTAAATGTGTGTCTGTTTTCGTTTCTTGTGTGTGTTTTAGTTCTTTTGATTGAAATTTTTAAAGTGGAAATATATATATANGCCGCGGTTCTTTTCTATGGATTTTATTTGAACCGGGTGTAGTTAGTTTTTTTATGAGTAGGAGATCTTGTGGTATGATTTTAAATAAAATCAATATCTCTTGACTTTATTATGCCTTGACAATAGTAAGTGCTTTAGTTATGACGCTTAGGCTCAGTTTTGACTCTTGTATAAGTACCTTAAATTGTATGATCTTAACTTTGTTTAAACTGCTTTGACTAGATTGTCTTGATGAGTCCGATCTTGAGTAAGTTATGTGCCATGTGTGTGTGAGGTTTTGTGTTATTATGTGCATTGCATTTGATGTCTAGAACTTGCCCCTTATTTTTGCAAAGCGAAATAGTAGTTTTATTCAGTCATGGAAGTGATATAGGCATTTCCTTGTTGAGCTAGTTATATACTTTTACCCACCTAATTATTATGTATCTTAGTTAACTCCTTTGAGCGTGTAATCCTATTTCTTTGACAGCCACATTACAAACCTTACCCATTTATTTTAATTGACTATCTATTTGAACCTTTTACCTCTCGTGAGCACTTGAATTTGTTATGAATTTTGTAAAAGTTAAAGTGTGGGTTGTTGATTTGGCTTTTGAGTGGAACTACTGAAATAAGAAGAAAGGTGCACTGTTTGAAACATTTTGAGATCCACTTTGTAACCACCCGGCCGATCGTTTCATGAGTTACAACCCCGTCTCTCCAATTTTTGCCTCCTTATATGTTGTTCATCCGTATTTCATATATCGCATTGGTGGTGTTTGGGACTTAGGAGCGTGTTCGGAATGTAATTTGGAGATCCGTGGTAGCTTTAGGCTTGAATTAACGAAATTGAAAATTTGGCATTTTCTGGTCGGCAATGGAAATCTTGATATCGGGGTCGAAATGGAATTACAAAAATTAGAGTAGGTCCGTTATGTCATTTGTGACGTGTGCGCAAAATTTCAGGTCATTCAGATGAGGTTTGATATGTTTTGGCATCGTTTGCGGAATTCGAAAGTTTGAAAATCCTTAGGCTTGAATCCGAGGGTGATTTGGTGTTTTGATATTGTTTTGAGTGTTCCGAAGGTTGGAATAAGTTTGAATGGTTATATATGACTTGTTGGCATGTTTCGTTGAGGTCCCGAGGGCCTCGGGATGGATTTGGGTGGTTGACAGAAGGTTTGGCTTTGAGTTGTTGCTGTAGATTTTGCTACTTCTGTCATTTCCACACCTGCAGATTGGGGACCACAGATGCGAGGTCGCAGATGCTGTATGGAGACCGCAGGTGCGGTGTGTTGGGCGCATCTGTGGGACCGCAGGTGCGATGCCTAGGCATAGATGCAGTCCTAAGGATTTAAGTGAAAATCGCAGATGCGGTTATTTTGACCGCAGATGCGTGAAAGGGAGCCGTAGGTGCGAGATGCTTGGGCAGAAGGTATTTAAAGGAACCCTTTGCGAATTTAGGTGTTCTTCACAATTTCAACTCGGTTTTGGAGCTTTTGGAGGGTTTTGAAGAGGGATTCAAGGGGAAACTTGTTGAGGTAATGTCTTTGAACCTAAAACTCGATTCTATGGTGATTTTCATTTGATTAAGCATGAAATTTGTGGGATTTAAGGGAGAAAATTGGGGGATTAGGGCTTGAAATTGGAGAGTTTAAATTGGGGATTTGAGGGGTCATTTGAGGTTCAATTTTAATGATTTTTTATGTATAGACTCGGGAGTGAAAGAAGTTTCTAGTTTTATGATTTTTGTTGGATTTCAAGACGTGGGCCCGAGGGTCGGGTTTGGCCAATTTTGGGATTTTTGAGTTATATTGATAATTTTTGCATGGGCTTTGTTCCTTTAGCATGTATTAATGATGTGATACTGATTTTTGTTAGATTCGGAGGTTGAGTTGAGAGGCAAGGGCATCGCGGGCTAAAGTTTTGTCTGGTTTGAGGTAAGTAATGACTGTAAATCTTGTCCTGAGGGTATGAAACCCCGAATTTCACATCGTTTCACTACTTTGAGGTGACGCACATGCTAGACGACGAGCGTGGGGGCGTGCACCGTTGGGGATTGTAACTTGGCCCATCTCGTATGACTATTAAGTCGCATATTTGACTGAAAACTATTTGATACTATTGTGCTTTGGAAAGTATTACTATGTCTTGGGTTGAATGCCATATTTAGGCCTCGTGCCAAGTTGTTTCGACCCTTAGGGGCTTTTTACTGCTATTTCTCACTATTTTGATTTAGTATCTGTACTCAGTCATGTTGTATTTTACTAATTTCATAACTCAGCCTTATTTACTCCGTTTTGATACTATAAATGATATTTTTGGGCTGAGCACCCTATTTTACTATTAGCCTGAGTGGCTTGAGAGGTTTCTGACTGAGTGAGACCGAGGGCCTGTATTGTGAGGATATCATGGGATCGGGCTGCACGCCGCAGCATGTTGTACTGATTTTTGATATATGAAAGGCCGAGGGCTTGATTTATTATTCCACGAGATGGCTTGTTATAGCGCTTAGGCTGTAGGAGCCCCTTCGGAGTCTGAACACCCCCGATGAGCATGGGTACCCAGAGTGAGTGATATGATATTGCCCGAGGGGCTGATCTTGATTCATGTTGTTGATCGGTGCCAACCCTGCACTATTACAAAGTAGCGAGAGTGGTCGAAGCAGCTTTTACCCGAGAAGGTCGGGATCGATTTCCACAGGGAGCTAAAAATGGGAATTGAGTTTCTAAATTGGAGATGCGTAATTGCTCTTAATTGCACTTCTAATCATAGTTGGTCTTTGTTTACTTCTAATATTATGCTAATAAGATGCTAAGTTAAGCTAAAAGTGAAATATTCGAAGGTTTTTCTAAATAGCTAAAAGGCACTAGGGAAATGACTTTCTCCTAGGTGGATACTTGACGGATTCGCGAGTTTAAGGCTAGGGTATCATGTTGGGGATTACGATATAACCATTGCACGATACTACTCACTCTATACCTCTCGGTAGTTTGAGTGATTTTTCCCTAATTGACTTTCTCAAGACCAATTGGGTATGATAATTTCTGCAAGCAATTTAAG